TGAGAGATCATTGCTTCAGGTTAACAAAAATGCTCTGTTATGCAAATCAATAGATGAGTTATTTCAGAAAGGAAGAGATGCAGTGGATCAGTCAGCGCTTAATGGACTTGTACAAAAGGTGAGACCCACTGCATCCTGCCAAGCTGAAATTTCTTGAAAAGTGTTACTTATTTGACTTGATAAATCTATTTCCCATGTTAATATGGCGTACTTGTGTTTTCTGTTATGAGAAATGAGATGACCATCTAGAAGCACTTATAGATATAAACCTGCTCCTATTTGTTAGTATGACATAGTTTTCAATATTATTAGATGTAAGAAGTTTTCTAGATAAAGCATACCAAAGGATTTTTAAACATGCATTTTACTTAAAGTTATTTAGAAAACTTGAATTCGGTTTAGCTTTTGCAGTTGGTACGCTTTTTATTCAGCTTGTACTTGCATCTATGAATAAATGCATGACACTTTGAGATTCACTCTACCTACTGTCTTCACACACATGATGATTTCCACTCTATGTTGACTCCTTTGCACTACAAATCACTAGCAATACTAACTTGACCAATTGCAATGGACAAGTTATACTCCAAGTATTCCTCTTTTAGTTTCATGGTGCTATTCAGTACATCATGATCCCATATTTGACTCCATATTTGGGGTTCAAGAATCTGAGGCCCTGCTAGCTCCCTTTTTGGAGAGCATGCATTAAACCTCTTACATGGAAGTAGAAAAGGTTTGCTCTGAAAAGCTAAGGTGTTATCTCTTCCAGTTTTCCTAAAGAAGTATATGTAGTTTCTTCGTGTATTTAGTAAGTCCTCAAGGTCAAATATCTCCAGAGAAGTGAATCCCTACAAAATACTTGAGGTAATTATAAGAAAAATAAGAAATGAGATCCATCTTATTATATATTATTATATTTTAGAAATAGTTTATCCTTTCTAGGATTTTGTTGAGTATTTTAGAACATTATACTGTGAAAGGATGCTTTGAAACTGTTGTCTAAGTTGTATGTTTCTTCAAATTTTTGCCGTATACAGCCTCTAGGAAAGAAAAACTTATCCATATACGATTGAATTATAAAAAAAAAAAAAAAAATCTAACATGAAAAGAGTTTATCCAATGAACTTGATTTTTGTCCTCGAACATTATCTTGAGGTTGGTTTCTTAAAAACTGGATTAAACCTCAGGACACATGATATATTATAGATATATGATTCTAGAAGCCTACAACACTTGCTTTTGTGATGCACATTGTTTTCTTACTATAGTGCACGCATGCATGCCATTCGAGTTTGATAGCAACTGCTGATCTGTATCCAGACAGGTTTTAGTGTGGAAGAGATCTTGCGCAAGTACATTCGGTATGCATTGAATGAAAAACCTTTTAATCCAGATTTGGTTGCTAGCTTAATCCAGCTCCGAAAGGCTTCTATGCTGGATGATTCTCAAGTTGCTGAAATTTTAAATGAAATCTCAAGACGAATTGTGCGTGAAAAGGGTAACTTAAAGTTGTTCTACATTTTTTTTACTTGTTCACATCTTGGTGTGTACTGTTTTTGGATCAATTTACTTGGGATCTGGTGATAATATGTTGGTTTTTTGATGGTTGACTTTGTTATATTTGGTGGAGGCTGCTTTGCATTACTGGCATGTATCAAATGGTATTATTACAAAACCTACAGTAAGGGCAGCAATCACCTTTACTAGATAGCTTCTAGACGTGTGCAGGGAGGACCTTCCTTGTTAGTGGTTGCTATAAAGAGGGCAACATATTGGTGTTTCTGGGTGTTACATTTTCAAAAAAGTTTGGTCTTAACTACTCTCTTTTATCACCTTTAAGTCATTCTTAATTCATGCACAGTTGTCATATTGGCTGTTGGTAAACCAGATCATATATGTCACTTTTGTTTCACATTCAGTTTTACCATTTGGTTTCATAGATTAAAATGTCTGATGAAGTTGGAAAACTGTTAAGGGATTTGTTAAAAAATAAATAACTCTTTGGGCTTGATGGATGCTTATATACATCATACTTCCATCCACATCATGGATTCATCATGGGTATGTATCATCTCTTTTCCCTCTTTCAGAAGAAAACATATATTCATTGTGTAGGTAGATTTCCTATTATTAGAGAGCTTTTGAGAGGCTAGAAATGTTAGTTTTAGGCATGAATTACCTCTTCCTTGCTCATCCCCTAATTTAGCAGAAAATAGTCAATTTTAAGGCTCATCTATTCCTAGCTTGTCAAGTATGTTCTCAGTTTTGACTTATTTTTATACTTTGACCAAGGAATATCCTATCCTCCAACCAAACATGACCTTAGGGTTTCTTACCATGGTGGAAACTACTGGGGTGGTTGTTTCAGCAACCATACTTGGACTTTGGGTGGTAGGCTTGAGCAGTTTGTATGGGATGAGTGTAGTAAGGTGGCCTTAGTTTTTTAGCTTAAAAAATAGAAGGGATGATTAAATAAATAAGAGCATACTCAGAATTGAAGGAAAAAAAAAATTCTTATTTGCAATAAGAATTAAGAAAATGGGAAGGGAGGGTGCAGGCTGAGGACAATTCTGGCTTTCCATGTCTCAGTACCAAATAGTGCATAATTTGATTTCTATTCAAGTGTATGCCTTGTGCTTCTCCATGAAGATTTGCATGATACATGTATCTCACATGAGAGCTTTTAATCTAATGCCAATAAATCTTCTGTTTGTTTCAGGCCCAGTTGTAATGGATATGTCAGGGTTTTCTGAAAAGGGATTTAAGAGAAAACTTGCTGTGAAGACCCTTTTTGGAAAGGTTTTCTATCTCTCTGAGGTAAGTGCTACAGAGGTCCTCCTTTCCCCTACATGACTTCCATTCTTGTTTATTTATTTTTCTTCTTTCAGTTTTCTGATCAAGTATATCATGGTTGCTTCATTGATTGTGCTTCTATTGACTTTTTATGGCAGTTGCCAGAGTTTTGCTCTAGGGATAGTTCCTTAATTGTCAAGGAACTATTTGGGGTGACAGAGTAAGTCTTTATCTTTACAAACTTCTGCTCTTCAGCTAGATATCAAAAAAATGATGCAAGGGGATGGCAATTGCTAAAAGATGCAATGTTCTAGTAGCTCCTTTCCCACATTCACATCATTTTTAAAACGAGTAAAAATGGGTTAAGTTCTTTTTCTTTTCCTATTTTCAGTGAGGATGTAGATGAATTAAGAATACACACCCTGTCTGAAGCTGGGGATATGGATTCGCTTGAGAAGATGGTTGATGGTTCAGATTCAGAAGAGTCAAGCCAAGACTCATCTGACACAATGTGATCATTTGATGTGAACTAAATCAAAATAAATTTAGGCGTAGGGTTATATTTTGAGGATACTGCGAGTTGCCCCAAGAAAAGAGAGCCTAACTCCTACAATAGATGTCCATCAAACATTGTTCTTCCGGGACTTTAAATCATGAAATTTTTGTCGAGTCTGAGTCATATACTTTTTGGATTTCTAGTGGAAGTCAATTTTTACACAACTAAAATGAGCTTGTAATTTATGTGGAAGCTGTGAGACGTCTACACCAAGAAATTGCAAGGGATGATAGCTTGGCTGGTTAGGGATTTGCATATAATCTAAAGGTTAGAATAATTACACTAAGTATGGGACGGTAGCTTGGTTGGTTAGGGTTTGCCCTTTACTTTGTTGGCCATTTACTACAGTACTTTTTCTTGAAGATAATGTGTTCTTTTTTTTCTTTGTAACATTTCTACATACTTTTGTATCAAAAATACATATTTAAAAAATAGTGACTGCTAAAATCTATGAATGATAATAAAAGTACTTATATACTCTTAATAAATCAAACATATAAGGAAAGATTTATTAAGTTTATTTAAATAATTTTATAAATAATCTTAACATTTTAAATATTAAAATGTTTTTATTTTTATTTTTCTTTAAAAATACGTATTATAATATTTAATTTAATTAGGAAAAAGCATGTGTGTATTAGCCAAACATGCAAAAAAATTAGAAAGGAAAAAACTTAAAATAGTGTCATTTTAATTAAAAAATTAATTTATATTTTAAAAATAAAATATTTTAGTTTTTTTAAATGAGGATTAATTAAAATGACGTGGTTTTAGATATTTTTTTACCTAATTTTTTACGGGTATTGTTGATGAACTTTTTTTCCAATTTGATTCATAGATCTCTATCTCCATTGATTGTTCTTGAGTAATTAAATTTTTTTGTTGGATTTCTTGTTTTGGAATTTAATTTTGGCCTGATATTTGTTCGTTTTATATTTGCATTTTGGTTTTGAATAAAAGAACAAAGCTTTTTGTAAGAGAGGAGAGGAGAGTCACCAGAGAATTAAGAGGGAGGATAGCCGGAGAAGAAGAGGGGTGAAGATGGGTTATTCTAGAGAAGGAGACCGAGAAGAAAAAAAAATTGTGTTTAATTATAATTAAATTAATATTTTGATTTGATAATTGTTGAATTATGTAGATTTTTTTTTATCTTGGTCGCATAATGGAAGGTAACTATTTTTCATTTCTTATCTCGCTTCACCCGTATGCTATACGATTTAAATTCAGAATCTCTTACTTTCAACGAAAATAGTTATTCACTAAATCATTTAAATCATTGACTTAAATTATATAAATTAATTATTCATTTAAAGCAGTATTATTCTTATCTTGATATACCCATAAGTGAAAGGAAATTCAAATACTGTCCACGTAAGAATAGCCTGATAGCTCTACTGTTGATTAGAATTAAATTGCCATGTGTTGGTCCATGTAATTTTCAATACAATATTTGTAAATTAAAAATAATGAATTTTTTCAGGGGTTAACAACCATGCCACTGCCAGTACTTAACTGACGGAAGAATTTGGTAGTTTTTGAAGTTTAAGGATCAACTTTGTCCAAAACTTAAAGTTTAGGGATTAAAATGGTGATATAACCTAACAACTTTGGGTAGTTGGCTTTCCGTAGGAGAGCAGCTGAACTGAACTGAAACAACCAAAGTCCTAACGGAAGAAAACAGCTGGGTTGGGCGGAGAAACCAAAAATCTCTCAATTCGCTCCTTCTCCTCACCTAGCTTTATCTTCCATTTCCATTTCTATTTCCGGCAGGTAAAATGTCTTTCTCAATGTCAAAATCTTCACTCTCAGTCTCAATCCCTATACCGAAACCTTGCCGCTCCTCATCATTTCCACATTCCCAAATGAAAATCCGATTTGAATCGCTAGATTCAAAGTCTAAGATTGATGTGAAGACTTTTTCGTCTGCCGGAAAGCTGCTGGAGTCGGAGAGTAATAGTGGGCCGTACCCAGGAGGGATGTCCAAAATGGGACCTTTCACGGGTAGGGATCCCAACGTCAAAAAACCTGGCTGGCTGAGACAGAAGGCGCCTCAGGGGGAAAGGTTTGAGGAGGTTAAGGACTCCCTATCTCGTCTTAATCTCAACACCGTCTGTGAGGAAGCGCAGTGCCCCAACATTGGAGAGGTATTGGTTCTTCTTCTTTTACTTATTGTTTCAGATTTCAAAGTAATTCAGAAGCTTGAAATGGTTAATTTTCAACTATAGTGTTGGAATGGAGGTGGGGATGGTATTGCCACGGCAACAATTATGGTCCTTGGGGACACTTGCACTCGTGGTTGTCGATTTTGTGCTGTAAAAACCAGTAGGAACCCTGCTCCACCGGACCCCATGGAACCTGAAAACACTGCTCAGGCTGTTGCAAGTTGGGGGTATGTTTTTTAATTTTAGCTAGGTATTAAATCACCTTTTTGTACCTGAATTTTTTGTTTTTTATTTATCTTTGAATTTTGTACAAATGGATGCATCCAATGTTTTCTTTGTATCTTGATACATCTGAAGATTGTTGTGTTCTGGTGGTATTCTGTAGTGTGGATTATATTGTTCTAACAAGTGTTGATCGTGATGATCTACCTGATGGTGGAAGTGGACATTTTGCTCAAACAGTTAAAGCAATGAAGGTACTCATATCCATATTGCAGTTCTAGTGAGTTGTTTCTTTAACTCATATCTTTTACATGTATATCCTATAAAATGATTTTGAAGGAAACTTCTGTTTGGTGTGCTTATGTATTGTGCAGAAACTTAAGCCTGAGATAATGGTTGAGTGTTTAACTTCGGATTTCCGTGGTGATTTGAAAGCTGTTGACACTTTGGTTCACTCTGGATTAGATGTCTTTGCCCACAACATTGAAACTGTGAAACGGCTTCAACGAATTGTGAGAGATCCTCGTGCTGGGTAAGTGACTAAGTTGCATCTCTGATGATCTGAAAGCATGACTACACGCATGTAGCTTTTGCATCATTTCATTATGATTTGTGACAACAAAGAAGTCTTTCTTCTGACCCAAAGCTTTAGATAAGCTGTTTTAGTTTTACACAGCTAGAGCCCTTTTTCTCTATTAATAGAGGAAAAAAAATTATCTGCCCATATAGCAACACTTGGTAAGCTTGGATGTTTTTGCACTAGTTTTGCAATGCAAAGAAATGCTTGTGGTCTCACTACTTTATTGTTATATCAATATTATGCTGACCTTCAATGCTGTCATAGCCCATATCTGGAAAATCTTAGCTAAAATTTTTAAATGGACTTAATATGAACTGAATTTGTAGGCTTGGATTTAATTTGAACTGAAAGACAATGTCTTTAAAAGACTCTCAAACTCAGGCAGGTTAATGGCCTCCATTATTTATAACAGTGGCAACTAATTTCAGGTAAATTCCCCTGGATAGGATCATATAGGTTCTTTTTGGTAGTTCATCTGATTATGCTGTGGTATTAATTCACGTTCCCAAAACCTCAATGAAATATTGATTATATAAGTACTGAATAAATATAGTCTATTAGTTGACCTTGGTAGTGCATATATTATTGCTATTTTATATGATATCTCAATGTCAAAGCAACAACCGTACATTAGCTATTTCATTTACCAAAATGTAATGGCTAACTCTAAAGGTCTGCAAGTAAGTAACACCTAAAAGAATAGCTAAGGTGTAAATGAGAAGATGCTGGTATCATGCAATTCTTTAGATTTATTCTGTTTCTGAGTTAGGATCCACTTACAACTTGTACACATCATTTACACAAAATCTTAACCATCCATCTCTTCACTACGAATGGTTGAGATTCATCATGACATTTTAGATGAAAAAGAAAATTATCTTTAAAAAATAGGATAAAAAGTAGATAAATCTAAGGCATCCATAGTGGAGAGATGAATGGTCAATATTTTGTGCAAGTGATGTGTGTAAGAGTTGTATGTAAGTGGATCCTAACTCATCCTTTATTTATGAAGTTCTCTAGCAAGTAGCAAAGTCTAAACTTGATAAATTTTTTGTTCATTCTGTTTTGATTTGTTTCCCCATAATGGTTGTCAGTCTCCTTCTCTTTTGCATCAAAATTTAGGTCCAGACTTTTAAATCTTGATGGTTTTTTTTTTCATGGAAAGTAAGAAGATTTTGATATGTCTGCTATCTGTACAGGCTTGATTTGGTCCTAACTCCAAAAGATTGAACTGGGCTTCTGTTCACACTCCTGAAAATTTAAAAGCATGACTTACAAACCTTTGGCTGCCCAGGACTTTAAGTAATTAAATATTGTGCACATATATTCTGTCATGAGATCTAAAACTGGTTTTTACAAATTGAATTCCCCACATTTATGCTTAGAGTGGTAAATAGTTTGTGTGGATTACACTTAACCACCATTTATGCTACTTTTTAGCAAGTTCTGATTCCAATATGTAGTTTAACCCTGCAGGTATGAGCAGAGCTTATCAGTTCTAAGATATGCAAAGCTCAGTAAGGAGGGGATGATAACCAAATCATCCATAATGTTGGGCCTTGGAGAAACTGATAATGAGTTAAAAGAAGCCATGGCTGATCTAAGGGCTATAGATGTTGATATTCTGACACTAGGACAGTATCTACAGGTAAATCAATCTTGCAAAATTGCTGTATGATTGGTCAGTACTGAAATTACCCATTAGATTTTTCATGTTGATTGATTTGTCTCACTATAGAGATCTAGACTGCATAAGAAATGTAATGGCTACTATATTTTGGCTCATCTGACAGTATCCATTACACTTCTCATGTTGTAAAATGTTGTCCAAGCATAACACCACTGAGGCATTTATGTTTGTGCCTTGATCAATCTTCCCCTAGTAGCTCATGTTGTTTCATTATGGAATCATCATCACATCATCATCATCTTCATCATCATCATTACTCATTGTTTCTCTTTTTGGGAACTGAGAAGGTTACAAGATTATACTCTGGACATACCCTAAGTTTGCTTTTATGTACAAGTTTCTCTTTTAATCAAAATTGTAATCGTAGTAAATGGATCATTGTTACTCTTTATTTTGCATTTATACTACTGAATAATAAAATATTAAATGTGTTTTACATTCTTGCAGCCTACACCTTTACATTTGACTGTAAAAGAATACATCACTCCAGAAAAGTTTGCCTTCTGGAAAGAATATGGGGAGTCAATTGGATTCCGTTATGTAGCTAGTGGACCTCTGGTAATCCCATAGTCATCCATTGTTCAACTTTTAAGTGATTGTGCATTCCCAGGTTTCCTTCTCTTAATGAACATCTAGTTAAATCAATGTTTGCATGATGGAATCATAATCTGAAAATTTTTTAATATGAATTCAATTTTTTGTTTCCTTGAGCATTGGCAATAGAATGAGGTCTCCTGCCATCCGTCGCTTTCCTTTTTCTATTCTTTGAACTAACTGAAAATTTGCTATCCATCATTTTTAATTTACTCTAATTTTCAAGCATGAATTTACATGCCATAACTGCGGTTCATTAAAAGCAGCTTTCTAAAACATTTGAAATATGTATACTACTTACACAAGCACTTTGTTGTTACAGGTTCGATCCTCATATAGGGCAGGGGAGCTATTCGTCAAGACAATGGTTAAAGAGAGGGCCAGAAACACATCTGCTTCATTCAACTGACTTATGGCCATTGAATTTGAATCATCAAACTCTCGGTGATGCTGTACCGACCAGTGATGAGATTCGGCGGCATGCATTTGAACCAGTTTGGTAAAAAGTGGTGTTCAAAATTTTTTAAGGCTAATATTATATCCATTGCTTTATCTTTCTTTCTGGGCATACAGCAGTTCATTTCGGTGGCATCTCATCTAAATTTTTTTGTCATAGATAGAATCGAAAATGTTGTTTTCCTGACTATCCTTATCTTGCTCCTGTTTTATTAGACAACCTGACTTTGGTAATGTAAGTTTCATTTGTTACTGCTGTATTGTAATTAAAGGATTTTTTGTCTTATGTTCTCTTAAAAATATATATAATATTAAATAAAGTTTACAACCGCATATAAAAAAATTAATCAAGAATTATAAATTCACATTTTTATATAAAGTGCCACATGAATAGGTTTGTAAAGTATTGTCAAAGCAAGTTTTAGGGTGTGTTTGGTGCAGTTTCTTAACTGCTTTAACTTCTTGATACTATTCATGTCTTATAAATTTAAATTTTTTTTTTAAAAACTTATATTTTTAAACTTTTTTTTACCCTTAAATAGATCTAAACAGTAAAAAATCAAAATTTTCAAATTTAAACTTTTCATAAATTTTCTTTTTACTCACTTTTTCTTAATTTTAAAAGCAATTTTTAAAATTTTTTTCTAATAAAAATTTAAAATTATCACTCATAAATAATATTCTAAAAGTAAAAACTGCAACAAACAAGTCCTTAATCTCGTTAATATTGTCCTCGGTGAAATTCACCCGTTGTCTTAACCACTTACCACCATCCTTTCTAGAGGAATTTAGTGGGCTTAACTGGCTAGAAAGAAAGAAAGGATCGCTCTTCTCAATTCTGACTTGGGTTTAATGTCCACCAAATGGTACTTTAGATCAAATCAACCATAGTTCCTCGACCTTGTATGGTACCGTACCACTGACATTTAAGTAGGAAAAATTACAATTTAACTATTTATAATCTGAAAAAAGTATACATAAAAATTTGAGATTTTAAAATATGTATATAATATTTTTGTGTTTTTGTGATGTGTAGATAAAAACAAGCTAAATTCAATAAATAATTTATTAACTATGTAATTTATTTTAATTTAATTTAGAAATATTTTTTTAAAAAAATAATTTATAAACTATCAATTTTGTTTCAAAATGATCT